AGACAAAACAAACTGCTCTCAGCTCCGTGAAGCGCGCAGGGCAGCGAAAACTAGCGCATCCGTGTTACGGTGATCACGTGGACGCCGTTGAGCCAACAGCGGGAGGAGAAACACATGACTTCATCGTTCAATTTCGCTCTGAGAAGTAAAAACAAACAAAACGTGAGAATGACGTAGACATGCCTCTGACATAGTGGCTCAATGTTGGCTGGTCCAACTCCGTGGCATTGACTGCGCTCATGATTGCGCTTCGCGGCGCACGCTAGAGTTGGCAGATTTCGGCGACTTGGCTCGTTTGAAAGTTTGCTGGCCAGTTTGTTAAATATATAAACGGAATTAGATAGTAATATTTTACAAGGGATCTTCCTATATGATACTGAAGAGGAAAATCAAAAAAGTCAAATGGGACGTTTCAGTCATTCATCCATCGTAAGGTTGGTCTGCCAGTAGGGTCGACACTGGTTTACACTGTAGATGAGCAATTTTGCCAGTGCAGTACGACTGCTAACCTGGGGTCTTTAACGTGCTCACGCAGTAGTGATACACGACCGCACGCCGGTACGATGCTCATCCAGATCGAAACGGCAGGGGTGGGGCTGGAGCCCAGGATCCCTGGGTTCTGCAGCGCGAGCTTTCGCTCCACGCGCGTCGAGCTGGGTGTGCGCTTTAGCCCACTCGGCCACCGCGTAGGGTTCTGCATAGTTTTCTAAATATCGAAAATGAAGCGGAGTTGCCCTTTAAGCAGCGTCCCGCTGGTCACGTGGGTTACGAATGTACGGATCCCATGCATCAGCCACAAATGAAGGGAGTATATAGGACATGAAGGGCTCGACTGCTCGCCCCAACCTGGTAATAAGGCTCTTTTCAGATCATTGTAGACGCAGCGATGACATTCACCATGTCCGTGATCTTAATATTATGGCGTGCGAAATACTATTTATTTGAATTCAAACGGAAGTTCGCCGTTGTACTGCGTTAGAGTATTACCATAATTACGTGATATGCGAACGCAGGGGTCGCATTAGTTTCCACGTTTACGCCCTGATGTTGTGGTGATAACCGAACTATGTGAGAGTGGGCTAAATGTTTTCCTGTGTTTATTCGAGATCTGCGTACAAATTTATTTTGCTTCTGTTGATAGTTTTGACCTTTCACTTCAATGTTTTTACTCCGATAAAAAAGTCACTATTTGTTTTCTCTGCTAGCGCTATTTATCAACAAAATGAGGGGGGAAAACGGTTTTTGCCTGGTAGTCATCGAAGATTTTAAGGAGTACCGACGAAATGAAGCCTGAGCCCGCCGAACTAATGCGTGGCCGAAACTGGAGCTTCCGTGCCAATTAATTTTAGAGGCAACTAGTCATTAGCAGTCATCAAGAACAAAACTCTACAGCTACGTTGAAGGATTACAATAATTTAACAAAACATAGGCAACTTGGTCTGCCGGCGTCTCTAGTTTCTGCAATTAGATAGAATTGCAAAAGTTTGTCGGAAGGCCGGAAGCACGTGTATGAGCGTGATTAATGGGGAATGTCTGCGCCTGCTCACGGCCGTTGTGGGAAATCGAGAGGCAAGGAAATTGAAAGTTAGTCTGAATAATCATCATCTCAAGACTTTGCGTTAAAAGCCCATCGGAGGGCAATCAGTAACTATAGCTATAGAGTGGCTGGGACAACATACATATATCGTCACTTTCTGCCTCGTGAATTCGTCGACGAGAGAAGTGCCCATATTGTGACAACAATTACCTTTCAGTGAGGCGACTTAGAACGCGGATATAACTGGATAGTGAAATAAAATGGGCCTTGTATGCGCGTATAATTGTGATATTGTATTAGCATAGCCTCGAAACATTAAGGCAGTGGTTCTCATGAAGGGGTGTGTCGGGGACCCCTGGAGGACACGCCATAGTGATGGCAAGCCATATGGTAGCGGGGGAAAAGGAAGGGGCGGGGAGGGGGGGAGGAGGGTTATGAAATAAGGCAACTATACTCCGCGACAACTTTTCTTGGCAATGCAGTGGAAGGTACGTCCCGCGTCCCCTCTCCCATTTTGAGCGTACGCAGGCTCTCCTCCTCCCCCATTTCCGGGGAGAGGAGGTGAGCCTGCGTACACTCAAAATGGGAGAGGGGACGCGGGACGTACCTTCCACTGCATTGCCTAGAAAAGTTGTCGCGGAGTATAAATACCGTGTGAAAAGGGCATCCTTTGCTGTTATAGGCAGAAGTGAGAAGCATCAAGTAAAAGGATGAATTGATGAATATGTTAAAGGCTGTACCCATTATAACGAACGGTAGCTTGGCCAACATAGCCGAGGTCAACAAAAACTTTTTGAGAAGGAAGGAGTGCGGGATGTTAGGGGTTAGATGAGGGCTTCGCGAATACCAAAATTGGCTTCGTGGACCCCAACGGGTCCGCGGAACACTATATAAAAAACTACTGCATTAAGCCATTGAAAAAAAAATTCTCAGAAGTTCCGGTCAAAAGTTTGTACAAGAATGCATTGCACATTGACACGTAATTCTGTTTTGTGGGTAAGTTTTGTTCCGTGGGTTATTGAAAAACAAAGTAGGTCAGCTGAGATGATTCCAGAAATCAGCATCCCGTTTTATGGAAAAGAGATTTACAATAGAGGTTATAACTAATGAAACCAGGTTCACTGCCACCAGGACTAGAGCCATCTTGATTGCGTTGAAGCAAAGCCGCCTAGGCTAAACGAAGCCTGTTCACTTCTCCCCTTTACTTTCTTCGTAAAATGACAGCACATTACGACAGCGTCGAGTCAGCGATTGGGCACGAGACCGAAGCTGAGCTCCTTCCGACGCAATGATTGGATGCTAGTTGCCACCAAACGCTGATGCAGCGTTCGTGTTCAACCTGTCCCGCGGCTCGGTCGCAGTGTGATGACATCACAATTCGAGTCTACGGGCTTTGTCTAATCTTGATGGTGTCGGATGAGGTGACACGATGCAGCAGCCCCCGCAATCAGGTAATTAGAACTTGTTGCTTGTATCTCTTTCTGTGTGTACTGTCTTCAGCTGACCTAACTTCATTGTTTAGTTTGTTTAGATTACTGTCGTACCTCTATTATAATCATCATCATGAGGACGTATGCACCACATACGAGTTTATTCTCAGCCAGGTGTTTGACCCAAGAAAAGACTACCTCGGCAGCTTATTTTGTTTTAAAATGTTACCTCGCTCCGTTCTTTAAGGGCTTACGGGGATACACATTTTAGCTGGCTGACCGCGGTTTGTTGGCACCTCGAATAGAAACGGGAATTTATTAAAGGTTTTATTTGTCATTTTTTATATAGTCAAAAAATGTAGGTCGGAGTTGAGCGGCACAGCTATCGGACAGTAACTGCTTTTCCGAAGCACGCCTTATCCGGTGGATATAATATTTGTCCAGATATAATTCTGCCAAAGCCAAACCAGCACCGCATATACAATAATCAAAGTCTGCAAGCATCCTTCTCTTATTTTAATGAAAGTCATCACGGTCGGAAAGTGCCAGCTAAGCAATTGGACCCAAGTCTAATGCCGGGTGTCCTTTGACGCTTTGATTGTACTGGAGGCACAGTTGAGCGTTGACTCAGCACTTTTGCCCAATTTGTACCTCCGCCCGATCTCACTGTGATGACGTCAAAGGTTTTCAATTGCTCTGTAGTCGGCGTCAACTCTTTCAAGATGCATTACCAAAACCAGCGTAACATCCACAGCGCTGCAGCCCGACGCTGCTGTGAAAGTGCTTAACTTTATCTTGCCTTTCATTCGCAGGCTTACGCGCAGCCAGATTTGACAAAGTTGGAGTACTGTAGAAGCTATGCTATAGCCTCGGCGACGTAGCGCAAAATAGGTCTTAAACAAAATTGTTCAAATGCTTGCTATCGGAGGGTGGGTACACGTTGATAAGGCGGGCTTTTTTGTCGCCGAGAACGGTGTCGAGACAGGTAACACGCTCACAGCGCGGAAGCAAGACAGCCGCGTATTCCGAGGCACGTGCGGGGACCCGGTAAAGAAGAAGAATGTGACCTGGAGAAGGGGGGTTACGGACGGGCCTTTTTGTGAACCCCACCAAGTTGCACCAGTGGTACCCCGACCAATACACTACGGGAGACTGCCCCTTCTGTACTGAACCCTGCGCGGACGTGCATCACACTACTTGGAGGTACAAGAATATCCCTGGACTGGCTCCACTGCTGGTACTCAAGAGTCGTAAGCGGGGCTGCAGAGCGACCTCATCGGTGTGCAAAAGCGGTTAGTGACACTCGCGCTGCATGCCGAAGCCGCAGTTGGAGCCCTAAAATGAGGGCATACATCCACTGTATCCCTCTGTCTCCCCCTTCCCTTCGCTATTATTTCCTTTGATGTTCAATTAAAAGTTTTCAACAACAACGCTCTTCGGCGTCGTGTGCTTTGACAGCGTTGGAGCACTGCGGATGCTAGGCTAGCCTCAAAAATGTAGCACAAAAGGGTTGAAACCTAGTAGATGTTGGTCAAGCACGGGATAGCAGTAACGCGAATTCGGCGAGATACATCGAAGTGCATCTCTCAAGAAATAAAATTGCATGCTGAGTCACGGTAACTTCACGCTCTCGTTTGCAGGCTTTTTTTCTGCGTTCTATTTTAACTTTTAATTCCGTGGCAAGGGCTACTTTTAATTCTTTTACTTTTAATTCCGTGGCAATGGCGTAAGTGGCACGGACCACTTACGCCGTCCGTGCCTGTATAGGTGCATGAGCTTTACAGAGTTTCGAGGATAACTGCATGTCTTAGCAATCTTTTGATATTAAAAAAAAAGTTTTCTTATTATTTATTCGAGTCTCCCTACTGCTCAACTTTCTGGAACTACAAAATTCCCTTTGACTTTAAAAGCAAACTGCTGGAACTTTATTGAAAAGTATTTTCAGCAATGTATGGAACGGTGAACAATTCCAATATCGCATTCACCGTACACATTTATGTAAGAAAAGCCAAGTGAAATATAGGTGCGAAGAATTCCTGCAGAATAAAATACTTCCTTTTATTTATTTTGTGTGAAACTAGTAGCGACCGACATAAAAACAATTTACGTACTCAAATTGGGGTGATTAATAAGGGAAGGGTGCTTTCCGAGCAGCTCTATTCAAGGCTTGAACGTAAAAAACTAGGAAGTTGGAAATTTTGTCCCCTAGATGGTTCAGGAAGCCTTTCTTGAGGGCCTCGGAGACTGGGACGTTCTTAAGTCCCGTAAACTTGACAGACGCCTCAAGAGGGAGCACGAGCTTCAAATCTGCGAAAGGTGGTCGTCCAATTTGTGCCGTTGCATTAAACTTGCTGAAGATGGTGGTGAATGTGCCGACTGCAGTGACGTTGTAGAACACTCGACCGGTGTACCTACAAGGAAGGCAGTATAAGCTATTATGATTACAGAAATCAAGAAAAAGGTATCACTCTTTTTTTACAGCGGTAGTTGTTTCGCCCTAATTAGGTGTATAGCCTTAAGCAAAAACATTACTACAGAAGGTGCGTGGCCTTGTTATTTTGTACGAACAATTAGTATAAATAAAGTAAGACAAATTGGTCTTCCAACGAGGTTTTTGAAGGTTTTATACAAAAGGAGAATGCTCATCATGTGAAGGCGGATGCACATTGATGTGAAACAGTTTTGACTACAAATGTATAAATTGTCAATAATTTTTAACGCCCCGGATGGTCTCTAATCATTGTAAGGTAGAGCAAGAGCTGAACTTAATTTTATGTATACAATTTGGTGACCACATTGATCCTTTGAAACGTAGAAGTTCAAAGTTACTGTGTTCTTCAAGCGCAACAACAAGCTGAGTATGAGATAACCTTGCTCCGGTTTCTTTTTTCTTTTTTTTTAAGAGGAAACTGCATTTTACAGTTTCATTACGTAACTAAGGTAGCTAAACTAAATATGCTATACCCTGAAGGTAATTTATGAGGACGATTTCACTTCAAATATAAATGAGACAAATTATATATTGTTTTGGTTCTTAATTTCACCTTTCTTATATAAAATGGGAAGGGGAAATAGGGAAATGTCATATAGACCTTGTGTTTATTGGGCTCGGCTGAGATTAGATGAGAGTAACTTTCAAAACATGGAAACGAGAACTAAAATCTGAAAACGCATTTATATACAACTGCAGCATTAAACAGAGCCGTATTAATAGCTAAACAGTCTAAAAGATCTCGCGAAAAGGCAACGAGTTTTACGAAATTCATCGGTCAGTTTTTGGTCTTTTTGTTGCCTAATTTCTAAACTGTATGAAAAAAAAATGCTACGAGCATTACCCACATTAAGGCGACGGACAGTGATGCGCTCGTTGTGAACGTTTAGTCGGTTTTTAAAAGAGTATCGTTGGTTCAACAACCGCAGCCGAGCTATAGTGACGTAATTCGCAGAGCGAGTACATCACTCTTATACAGGGTGTTTTTAGGCTTAACAAATTGTAAAAGATCAAAAGCGCTGTGAAACTTGTTCGCTAATGCGGTCTGTGAAGGTGAGTTATACGGCCAGGAGAACATAACATAATATTAATGAATAATCGTCACGATAATTCAAATAAAATATTAACCATATTTATGAATTACCCGAGACTGGGGTGAATAACTTAGAAGCATCAACTGTGGAAGAGAAAAAAAAATGTGGCAGGAGGACAAAGTTGAGATTTTATCCTTCTGTGATCTTTTTCTTTCACTTCCACGGTTGGTGTTTCTAGGTTTCTCGCCACATGATCTTGGGTAATTCATCAAGACATTAAATATACAGCAGCTTGCCTGTATTTCGACTGTAATAACTAATATTTGTTAGTTAACGTTTAGTTAGTAAAAATAAACATGAGTTTTCAATTAGAAACTTACTGAGCACGTCATCCAAAACAACAAAGTAATTCATTTCTAGGAGCATGAGTGGCTTGGTAGTTTTTTTTTATTACTCCCAGAAAGTTTGGAATCAAAACGACACTAACAATAAACATGAAAATACGCAGGCAAACGTGCAATAGCTCCATAATGAAAACCCGAGAATCAGAATATATAAAATAATTGACCAACACACACAGTGTCTCAAATCATAGACGGGCAAATGCACACAACGTCTCAACATCGAAAAACGCGTCCATTTGTCTATTATGCTATTTATTCTCAGTCTGTTTTTTTTTTCATGCAAGAACCATACATTTATTTTCGCTAATTACAAATTACTTTAACAAATTTAATTCAATTATCCGACTTATCATAACGTTACCCCCAGAATACATTATTGTGTAAGGAGCTCGCCGCGCTCCTTTTTTGTTCAGTTTGCAAAACCAAGCTGTAAAAAAAAAAAGGAAAAAATAGAAAAACTGATTTATCTATAAAAAAAACAAACAAATTGAGCATATACTTTATGCAGGGCAATGTGCGCTCCCCTCAAAGTATAAATCAATTGACCAAGAGCTCAAAAGCTAAAAATTTTGCGCAAAAGATTTAAATTGGCTTAGCCTTTATAACGACCGCTCCAAGAATGCATTAAAACATTAACCCTCTCCCCACACAACCCAAACAAAAACAAAAACAACAGCAATAACAACCACAACCATGACAACATTAGTAGAAATTTAAAAAACAAAGTTTAGTAAATTAGCCTGTGGTCAGAACGTTTATCCTCATCTATTATCTGCAGAGTCTAACAAACATGTTGCAAAGGTAGTATTGAAGTAAATGTCATTCCTTTTTTTTAAATATCCGTTGGACTTATGAACAAATAACTCATTGCATATTCATGTGAGTCAGAATTCCCTCATTACTTTTGTGTACCTCTCAACAACCTTGTTCAGCTCCGCTCAATAGACGGTGTTTGGGTGTTTGCTTTCATTTGTGCCATACTAAAATAATATTTGGCCTACCGTTGCGTCATATTTGAGAAAATTCGTCCATTTACCTGAGGGTCAAGTTGGCCCGAGCAACGACGTGACCAAAGGTGACGTTGCAAGTGGCGTTGACGCGGTTCCCAATTCTTCCATTCTGACAATTTCCTAGACGTTTAGCTAGGCGGAATCCAGTGATATTCAGCGGGTGAAAATAGGCAGAAATCTTCATCGTAGCGTTCAGGGTAACGTTGTAGTTGCTAGAAATCCATGGATCAAGAGAGCTGAGCTCTCTGGGCATCTCCACACCCAGCACCCGGTCCACATATCTATTGGTGTCTTGCACGGAACCGCAGATGGCTCCTGTAATAAATAGACAATAGTATTATTTGATGGTGTTGCGACACGGCTTTCCTTGAAGGCATAACGAATAGGACTCGCTCACTTGAGAGACATCAGCAGGCAGAGAAGGAAATGCGATGAAGGTGTTAGAGAGGTTTATCGGCTTATGGGTAAGGAATAAATGCCGTCCATGGTTTTCAACACAATCTCAGGAAGTTTAATAAGATATGCTGTTTGTACACGGCACACATCTTACGAAAACCAATGAGGCGGTTTACGGGTTACACATGTGCAGATATGCAAAGTTATTTGTACGTCCTAAATTTGTTTCTTGCTCCGTCACGAGGGCACTTTTTATATTCCGTTTCACATCTAGTCTGGAGGCAGCCAACGCTATTATTCGATGCAGCCAATCCAGGAGAGCCAAAAAGTGCATAGTCATGGAGCTCGTTGTCTTTGTGCGTTTAGGCTAGGTGGCGCTAGCTGCCACCCGTTATAAAGGGTACAGCCGTCAGCATCCATCAATCTGGCGTTTTCCTATCACCGGCTAAACCAATCATGTTCGGCAAATGTGGAGCGACCTGGTGCTATCTTGCGCGTGATTGGTTTAGCCGGAGTTTGGCAGGGTGACGATGCGCTTTGATGTTGCTTGATTGGCATTATCGGATCTGCATGTTAGCTGCGGTCGGACTAATGTGAGGGAAGTAAAGAAACACGCATTGCATGGCTATACTTCGTTTCAGCTTCGGTCCGAGCGCGGCCGATGTTATGAGCCTAAGGGCCAATCAAACAACGAAAGAGGCACAATATCATGGCGTGCTCTCTGCAGTTGATAGGACCAGCCGGTACTCGCCGTCGCTCTGTGCGTGCTCCTCCGCCGGCTAGTCTTATCAAGCGCAGAGAGCACGCCATGACGCTGCGCTTTTTGCGCTGTTTGATTGGCCCTTCGGCTCATAACATCGGCCGCGCTCAGACCGAGACCGAAACGAAGTATAAGAATACTTTTTTTTTATCTGTTTGTAAGTCAAGGGGTCTACTGGGCTGCCGTAGCCTATATCATCCAAGAACCACACGTTCTCCTGATGCGTTATATTTCTGCCAGCGGTTCATGTAATGAAATATACGCTGATTTTATAACTGCTCGACTTAATTTCATTCAGAATGTTGCTCCTAGACATTTTTTTTCGAATAAAAGAAATAGACAGTGTAATAACAAACCCGAGAGTACAATTGAACATACCACCGGGTTGCAACGAAATGCAAATAGTGACGGAACTTCGAGCCCTCTACCGGCGCAGCTTTCGAGACTGCTGTGCTTGGCGATGTTTAGACACATCGGAGTTGGGCGCTGCGAGGTCGTGCGTCCTACTCCGTTACGTTTGAACGTCCCCAAGCACAACCCAAACATGGAAGCGGCGCCGGTAGGGGGCTCGAAGTTCCGTCACTGTTCGCGTTTCATTCGAACCCGATGGTACATAGCGTATAGTTCGTTTTACTCCGACCACGTATCCTAATGCGTAGAGGTTAGCGCGAACGTCAGAACTATACTTTTTACACTTCAGTCATTAAAAATAGTACAAAGAACGATTAAAATTTCTCACGCATTAATGACCTATGAAATCGTATTCTATTACGCAAATTGCTGTGAATACAACTGTTTATATGAAAAAGAAAAAAAAATCCGATTGCTCCGTAATATTTTCTACATTCCCACAGGCTCAAGAATCACAAAGGCGTTTGAGACGTTATTTATTTTAGAAGCATGTAGACTTAGCCGACGACGACGTGATTGACGTCATGTAAAATGAAGCATTTTTAGATAACATTTTGCCTCTTTGATATATTTCATTAGCGCCATGCATAATCATTTATAAAATAAACTTGGCCAGAAAAAAAAAATGATATTTTTAGGTTCAGATGTTTCACAAAACGTAATTCATATCTGTTTTCTTTCAAGGGCGGCTGTATTTATTCCACTGCGCATAAAAAAAAATTGTTTGATCACTTATGGCGATTTACTAAAATGTATGTCTAAGAGGTTCTTTTCGAAACTTAAGTCACCACCAAATTCGAAACTTGTTGAAGGACATACTTCTAGACGTAGTACAGAGGGCGTTGTTTTTTTTTGTTGTAAAAAGTTATTTTGTAGTACTGTAACCTACCTGTTCTTTTTAAAAATATTAATGTCTGGGGAATGTGTATGTCACTAAGCCTATGAACGAAGTGTTTTAGAAATAAGGCTGGCCATTATTAGTTAATACATTTGTTTGTACTCACCAACAAGCAAGGTTGCGAAAACGGTAGTATACAGCATCGTCGTCCGAAATCGCCCTATAAAACACACAAAACAAACAAGATAGTTTTAGGTCATGTCGAGTTTGGTCTCTGAAAACGCTGGGAATCTTATGGTGTCTCAGAAATGTATTAAACCTTTTCCTTTAATACCAGCACATTTTGTGATATCACTTTGTTGTTTCGCTACTGTATGATTTTGAACGACCGAGGAAAATGTACGTACATGGGCGCGAATTCTTCCGGAGAATTATTATTTTACGCCTAGAAAATTTACCAAAACAAGTAAAACTTAGTTCAAACTCAGCGTTTTCTTTATGGAGGGCAAGGAATTAAAAGGTGCTTCTGAACAATAAATAAATGTAAATTTTATCATGATAATAATTACCATTACCATAGCACTGACAACTGGCACCATGATGATTTTCATGGTTATCTATTACATCTCGATGCCGTATAGGGACGCTAGAGGGATGCTGAAGCGAAATTTGGAGCTCACAAAACAAGGCTCGAGCGATAGGCAGGACGCTGCACAACCTAGGAACCTCACTCATACAGTGACATCTCTAACGCATGGCCATATTTTTGGAGAAGGAGTGCGCGATTGAACATGTCCGACGAGGCCGACGAGACATGTGACGTCACGATTCTCGTTCCCTCTCCCCCTCACTACGTCCCCTCTAGCAGGTGAACCGAAGCGAGGAGAAGAGAAGCGAGGCCGCTTTCTCTCAGTCTTAACTCTTCGAAGAGAATCATGACGTCATATTCCTAGATCGATAACGCCCTTAAAAAAAAAAAAAAAAATACGACCATTCCTTTCAGACATTGATGCATGAGTGATAGATTTGAGTTTGTAGCGTCCCGTTCAACACTTCTGAGGCCTTATTTTTCGAAATACAAATTTCGGTACAGCACCCCTTTAAACAAGGCGAGTAAGAAAACGTATTTACGTGTATACCGGCATCATAAATAAATAGCTAAAAAAAAACTGAAAACAAAAATGCATTTGCATTTATGGTCTGAAATTTGTGACAGGCGCTTGCAGTTCACTTATCTGTCTCCACGTGGCGTATTCACCTTTAACTTTACTCCGTGTGCAAATTCCCGCAAAAGCGGAGTGTTTACCGAGTGAAACTGTATATAAAATGGACTTCGAAGATGAAAAAAAAAAACAAAAAAACTAAAATGTATGTTTGGCCTAGTTGGTTTATGAGCATCTTGGTTTAGAACAGCGCGACAAGACAAGCACAAAGTAAAGACGAAGGATACGAAAGCGCTGAACATTAGGTAAAAGTTTATTTTCACCACTGCCAGTATATACAGTACATGTACACATGGGCAACAGCCAAATAAACAAAGAGCGTAGAAAAGAGACAAAATGTATACCGTCTCAGCATCTTATTAGTTAAATTATGAAGTGCTCTGTCATTGTCGGCCCCTAACCAGTAAGGAAAAAAATTTCTTTATGGGACATAACAACGGGGGCCACGCTCTCACTTTGTCTTATAATTTGTTTATTTCGTAAGCTTCTACTATCTCTCCAATTAGTTTTTCATCCTGCCTTTTAATATTTTTTATTTTTCGTATCCACAGTCACGGCAGTGAATTCGTGGATGACCGGAAATTTGTTTTGTTATATTATGCTAATCTTCCTTTAACAGTTCATTAATGCACCGTCCGGTCTGTCCGATGTAGAACCTGTCACAGGACAGACGAATAAAATAAACGACGCATTCTTTACAGCTAGCGAAAGGCTGTCGGTGATTTTCGTACGATGTTTTCTCTCTTTCCCAATCTTGTTCACTTTTCTGCGCAGGCCAGACGAACGCTCAGGAGCAGAAAAAACTACAACTTCTGCTCCTTTTACTATTCTCTTTAAGTTGTGAGAAATCTTGCGCAAGTACGGAATGACGCACCTTTTTTTGCTACGGGTTCTTGGACACTCGTCACTTGTTAGGCGCGTTTTCAAGTTTTTCAGCAATTCTTCAGCCACTAAAGCTAGAATTATCTGTGGTTAGCCGGCATTCGCAAGTCTTTCTACTTGTTTTAAGAAGCTATTTGACAGACGCCGGTGACATGATTTAGAAAGGGTGGAAGTGAAGCATGAATACACAATTCCTCTTTTCACAATCTTTGAATGTGCTTAGCCGAACGAGAGGATCGGCTTGTTACTTCTGGGCTCAAAGGCCCAGCATTCATGCCCGGCTGACAAATACAGGCCTATAGGTCTAAAACTCTGGTAAATTGTAGGTTGCCAACTCATGCGTCAATTACAAGGGTGCAAGACAGTCTTTAAAAATGCCAAAAGTTGGAGACTCATCGCACCCTAAGTAAAGAACCAACGTTTGCAGTGGAGCCCCAAAAGTCGGCACTTGAGCTACTGGCCATTGTGAGACAAGTATCGAGCCGGGCTACCGAAAACGGGTCCGGACGATTCAATTCAGAGGGTGTCTATATGTTACCCCAGTCTAAATATTCAGCCGTCAAACTTCTCCTAAAACGCACAGTAGAGTACCTGAGAAAGAGTTGCTTTGCACTGTTGCCAACAGACATGGAAGGTGAATTTGTTGTAATGCCTAGAGACCTATCTGTCGAAATCTTCTGGGGCTATTCGTTTCGTCTTTCAAAAGTGTGACGACGTATCGTTGGTCAAGGGGAACGATGCTAAAGGGCTGTGTAAGAGCTTGAATCTAGAACAGCTATTGCGAGCGATCGATACAAAAGAACCTTCGTTTACATATGTTATTTTTGGCAAAACCTCATAAAATCAAGTGCCCGTTATGGGTAGTAGTGTCTGAAAATGAAAATTGGCACAAGTCTCTCGCGGAGTATTTTACAAAGAACCTCAACTTACTGAACATTGATGGCACATTCAAAGTCAGGAACGTACTCGGAAGATGTAATATAATTTGTAAGTGAAACTACAAATAAGCGCCTTTCAGCATTTTCCGTCGACGTAAAATGTTTGTATTATTGTAATATTCTATTCTACATAGCCAACTAACGCGGAACGTTAATTACCGTACCGAAAGAAGTGGGACGGTAGTGTTTCAAAAGAAAAGTGGTATCCCCACAGAAAGGTTTTTGGAATTATACTCCATGTGAAACGACGGCTTCTGGCTATTCAAACATTTTAAACGTACTTGAAGTGAATGGTGGGATAGTGTAAACCGTACAAGAAATATGAAATTATAAACTAAGCTGCGTAAATGTACACCGCCGCTATAAACGCATACGCACAGGATAGAAACAAACAACAAAGACGCGAAAGATTCACTCACCTGACAGATGATGCATAGAGTCACGATACAGCGACGATACTTTTATAGGGCAGCTGTCTCCTCGCTATCTTATCACGCTTAGACAGTAAGTTGCACTTGCTTCACGTTGTGAAATGCTCGCTAAGCGCTCTAGGATTAGTCAATCGGGAGCAAGATAATGTTGCGTTGACATCTGCAACGCTCGATATAGAACAAATCCAGCAAAAACAAAACTTAACACAGCACTGCGTTTCTACTGGGATGTTATACTCCCACGTTGAGATCAGCGAACGCAGCATAGCGCAGAACGCTCGCGTTTCTTTGGCCGGCAGGCAAGAACTCGATATCTGCGACCAATCAGTATATGCGTGAGCTGCGCTACGTCGCGTGTACTACGCTCGACATTACAGTCTAACGGAGCCTTTAGAGGACAAGGCCTGTTGCTACAGCTAACCGAATTATATATATATATATATATATATATATATATATATATATATATATATATATATATATATATATATATATATATATATATATATATATATATATATATATATATAAAAGTTCTTCCTGACGAAGGCCGGACTCCGGCCGAAACGTCGAAGATTAAATCGTCCGTTGTTGCTGTTTTTCACTAAGGGTTTTTTCTTCTCAGTTTTATATATATATATATATATATATATATATATAGTATTTTTACACAAAGTTTCGGAAAGTAAAAAAAAAAAGAAGGAAACTTTACGAATTAAAGTAAAATGCAGAGGTACATAGTAGCACGAATAACTAGCAATGATGTCTTTGTAATCTCTAAGGAAACTGACAGGAAACAACACCCGGCTTGTCTTTCCACAGAAATCGTTAAGACTGACACAGCGTTATTTAATTTCAACTGACCAGCATTTTGATACCTACAGTAAACTGAGCTATACGGAAATCAAAACTTACACTGAACGAGAGGAATGCTTTGTTGTTTTCTTCTGTGTAGCATAACTTCGCTTCTCGTCACGGCTCCAATGTCACGTGAATGCTGAACTATCCTCCGGTTCATACCAAGTCTGAGCGCAGCCGATGCTACGGTCCGACGTAGCCAATCGAGTAGCGCCAAAAAGCGCATCGTCAGTGCATTCGTCGTCTTTGTGCTTTTGCTATAATCGGCGAAGTGAATGGAGCACAGTAAAAGCGCAGGATCGCGGGGCATTCCCTGTGCATGATTGGCTAAGCCGGCGATAGGGAAGGCACAGGAATACGAGCGCCATGACGACAGGCGTTTGGCGGCACTTGATTGGCTCAATCGGATCGTAGCTTTGGACTTAAAGAGTAACAAAGTACAGCAGCCGTTTTTTCACAGTGGAGCTGTTAAGGGCTAGGATCGTGTCCGGTACCAAACAATTGTCGACACCCGTGGCCGACACAACACTCTGCTTGCCACCGTCGCTCATAGATGGCGGTAGCTGTCCAGAGTGTTACGTTTGCCGGTTGTCTGCTTGCCGCTGTCGCTCATAGATGGCGGCAACATTTCTTCGGAGGAAGAAGACAGCGGGAACCGGAACGAGTGGAGATGTGCACAGCAGCGTAAATGGTTTCGCAACCGCCGCGAGTCCGCTATCGCCTACAGTTACACTGCGTCCAGCGCTTCAGATTCCCTTGCGAAAGAAGAGTAGATCGCTCGCCTGGAGAGCCACCGTCGAGAACAGAAACTACGGCTCCGCTGCTCTTCCTTCTTCACCAGAGTTGAAAGGCTGAAAGTTTCTTTTTCTTACTTACTACCCCGAGCGAACTACAGTCTGTACAAGCGAATGATAAATCTATACTCGCTTCAGCCATTTTCATGCGTCAATTCTGGGGGAACGCGGTAGGGTGACTCTTTCGACTTAGCGTTCGCGTCCGCCGCCAAACGGGGAACCAGGTCTCTTCTACTATATCTTGTTGAGATTAGCTTCTATAAAGCTATTTAGGAGTGAAAAGTATGAACACTTACATACCACGAAATTGTGAGATGCCTCTCTGTTGTTTCTTTTTCTGTGCGATTGCCCAAGCAGCAGGGCGATACTTGACTAGTGTGCCAGTGCCGGCCAAAAATTGGTCCCATATAGACCGAACGTCCAGTTTTTCACCACAGCCCAATATCCACAGATATTAGCGCACCGTCATTTGAACATCAGCCTAGTATCGCAACGATATTGTGCGAGTACCGTACGGATCGAACCGACGCCCGGATAATGGAGCGACTCATGCGAGCATTGTACGGATCGGTACGGGCATTGGCTTGACGTCATATTGTCACTAATGACAAGTGAGGAGGCGATAATGACTGAAGAAACTAAACGTTTAATGGGGCGAACTTGTGCCCAAAAATAAAAAGGAAACAGAAGATAACAGCAGAGCGTCGCGGACGTCGAAGTCGGCGAAAGAGCAGAGTTGAACGCTGGGGCGAAACTGACTCGGAAAGGTTGCGGGCGGTTGCGGGCGGCCTTTTATTTACAGGGTTATGCAAGGAGACGCCAGGCTCTTTAAATCGACCGCAAAATTCAGTTTCTTAAACTATCGCGCTGCGACTTTGTGCAGCGTTCCCCACAGATGGTGCATTTTGTTTTTTGTAAAATTTGCAGAGAGCGAACTTACCTGAGGGAGAAGTAAAGAAAGAAAAAGACATAGCTCCTATGGAAACGCAGCGGTGCCACCGGTCTTCAAAGAAAACGGCGCCGTTTCGCACGGGAGACAAGAGATGGCGCAACGAACGCCGCCAACGAACTAGCATACGGCGCCAAGTGCCGGCGTATTTAGCAGACGATCTTTTCCACTCAAAAGCGGCGCGCGTTCCACAGGCGGTGGCAGTCCCAGAAACAAAAACAGGCTCGGTAACAACAAGGAGCTGCAGTTCCTTGTCTGCTAAAGCCGCCGACCCTCGGCGTCGTATGCTCGTTCGTTGGCGGCAGTTGGCGTCGCGACCGCTTGCGCCATCTCTTGTCTCCCATGCGAAACGGCGCCGTGTTGTTTGAAGACCGGTGGCTTCGCTGCGTTTCCATAGAAGCTAAGCCTTTTTTTCTCTTCTTTTTCCTCAGTTAAGTTCGCACTTTGCAAATTTTACAAAAAAAGATGCATCATCTGTGGGCAACGCTGCACAAAGTCGTAGCGCGATAGGTTAAGAAACTGAATTTTGCGGTCGATTTAAAGAGCCTGGCGTCTCCTTGAATCACCCTGTAGAGTGACTAACTATGTCAAAGATTCGGCGGAGAAGGTCCGAGCGTACCGCGCTCGGGGCGAGAATGAACATGCACTCTCTAGAACAACAAAAACAAGGATAAACGATAGAAGTTATGTCCGCAGCAAGAATAAACGAAAACCTTCTACAAGTCCGTGACTCTGCGCGCGGCATTATCCTCCCCTCCCTTTAAAAGTGCATCGTCCCGATGCAGCACAAGCCGAAAAACAAACCCACAACTGAAGGACAGCAGAATCGCGAGCCACAGCTCACAGTTCACTCTTCACAGTTCACAGTTCACAGTTCACTGTTCACAGTTCACACGTCGACGACGGTGGAGTGATATCGTTCGTTATACGGCTTCAGCCGGACGACGTGCACCACCTCGGGTCGCGGCTGACGTCTTGTTAAAGGTCGTGTTTTGTCGTGAAGAACTTCATAGTTCAGATCTCCGTGGCGTCAGATAATCTTGTAAGGCCCAAAAAAAGCGCTTCAGCAGTTTTTCGCTGAGACCGCGACGACGCCCTATTGAAAATTCCATGAAGATACGTAATTTGTGACACTGACTGCCAGTCAGCAGCCTTGGTGGAACGTGTGGACCATCAGACGTCATCTCATGGTCCAACAGATGACGTCTGACTGCCACTGCCAAGGGAATTTCATCAACAAGGGCAGCATTTATATAAGAGTAAAGCTATACGCACCCATAAATATCGCCAAATGCCTCGATAATACAAAATTTTCGAGAAAAAAAAATAAAATAGCCGACCACCGCGGATCGAACCCGCGACCATGCACTTGCGTAAAAATCGGACACCTGAACCCCTATGCTATGCCATCGCTTTAGAAAATCGATTTGACCATTTGTTTTATACGAGATGCTTCGGCTGCAAATGCAGTTAAGCCTTCAGCATGTTATGCAAAGCACTCGTACATCACTCGCCGAACTTCAGTTCAACTCACCTGCCATGTAGAGTACTTTCGCGTCGTAGAACGATCCTTTTGTTCGCGCGTCTCCGGCCCAATAGACCTGGTACACCTTGTCGTTTTCAACTACACCGCTAAAGTCCCTTACATCGTCGGAGGCTGGGTCTTGTCGAGTAGCAATTCTACTAAAGCATAAGACATTGTAGAGCCCGGGCAGGATCGACATGTTGGAGCAAGCGGGCAAATAAAACGAGTCGAGAGCGATCGTTCATGAAAGCTCGGCGAAGCGGCGAAGCCTCTATGGGCGAAGCGAAGTGGCGTGTTCGGCGGCGTTTCGGCGGGCTTCTGATCAAGGTTGTCGGTCGGCTGCGTGTCATATCTCTAACATCAGCGGTTTTACGGGCTCACGTCCCGAAATCGTTTTCTTGCGCATAGATTATTTTTCGTATTCATAGATTTGACGAAATAGTGGTATCCGAACGAACTTTACGTCCTTTGACCGTACGCCTGTCTGCACGTCAAAGCGTTTTGACGTACAGTCAGAGACTATCGATGTACAATCAGAATCGCCACCAAGACATCTTGATGGCATTTCGCGGCGGCCGACTGCCACCACAAAACCATCAGAAAGCCGACAAGTGGAGTCTGACTGGAGTTTGACTGTCGGGCAGAGTAACTTGTTGGCCAATCAGACATGCTTGACGTACAGCCAGGCACAGTCAACGGTTCACTAGAAAACATTGACTGCCAAACAGGGTTACAATGATGGATTTTTCCTTCGGGCGAATCGGCGTCCACAGCCACGCTCTGTCTCCGGGCTGGAAGTGGGCGGCGTGGCGCCGAAGATTGTACCGGCGAGCGTCGACACGCTGTTGATCGTGGATTCGAAGGCGTGCTTGTTGGCGCGCCTCTTCTGCTCTCTGACTGAACGCGTGGGCATCGCCACATTCGTCATCCACTGGCTCATGGGGCAGCATTGCGTCCAGCATGGTCCTGACTTTTCAGCCATGCACCAGCTCGAAGGGTGTAAACCCGGTTGTTTCTTGAGCTGCGGTGTTGTAGGCGAACGCGACGTATGGTAATACCTCGTTCCACGTCTTGTGCTCTACGTCGACGTACATGGAGATCATGTCGGCGATCGTCTTGTTGAGCCGCTCCGTTAGCCCGTTGGTTTGCGGATGGTACGTGGTGGTCCGACGATGGCTGGTGTGGCTGAGCCAAGAACAATGACCCTCGGTCGGTTATCAAGACTTTGGGGGCTCCATGTCGAAGAGAATAGATTTGACGAAAAACTTGGCAACTTCCACCACTGTTCCCGACGGAAGGACTTTCGTCTCGGCGTATCGTGTAAGATAATCGGTCGCGACGATAATCCAACGGTTTCCTTGCGTCGATGTTGGGAACGGCCCAAGTAAATTCATTCCGACCTGCTGGACGGGCGCAGTTGGAGCAGATATCGGCTGCAGGAGTCCTGCTGGCTTCGTCGGTGGCCTCTTACGTCGTTGGCGCTCATGGCACGACCGTGTATACAAATGGACGGTTTTCGGGAGTCTCAGCCAATAGTACTTGTCACGAATCCGGCGAGCGTCCTGCTGTAACCTAGGTGTCCAGCCGCCGTGTCGTCGTGGCAAGCTTAAAAAATATCTTCTCGCAGGCTGGCAGGAACTACCAACAGCCAAACAGGGTTGCTGGTTCCAGAGTTCTTCTTGAAGAGCACGCCTCGCCGCAGAACAAAGCTTGACTAGTCTCGGGCCAAAAATCGGGGAACGGAATCTCCTTGACCTTCGAGGTGGTCGATTACGGCGCGAAGTTCGGGGTCGTCTCGTTGAAGTGCTCCCATGTCGGTATCTGTAA